AGGATTTTATTGTACCTATAATTTATTTCAGGATGTATTTTAGAGTTACTTGTTTGGAAATATTAAGCACTTCTCCATATATGAAGCCTGACTTCTGAAACCATTAACGTCCTACCTTGGCCTAAAGGAAAGCCATGCATTGGTATGCACCAGGATTTCCCTTGCCAGCATAAGGATGTGAGGAACTGGGGTTACTGTTGGCCCAGAATGGGGTGTAAGTTGAATATTTGCAGTGAGGATTATGCAATTAACTGGGAAATACAGGATCAATAGGGGGTAAGTATGAACTAGAGATTTGCCTCTAATGAAGATTGTAAGAGGGAAATTTATTTATTTTTACCAATTCTACAATTGTTCATACAGGTTTATGTAGAGGCTTACTTTAACCCAGTTTCACAGAGATCTGTCATCACAGACAGATATAGCACTGACCTATCTGGCACTGGGATTGGGCTTGTTTCATGGATTTGATTTGGTGTAACCTTAAGCATCCATATAAGCTTCCAAAGCTAGGAGCCTGTTAGTTCTGTGAAGGTGATGGGAGGAAATAAGTTTGTCACTATTGCCTGTGGGTTGAACTGCCTATTGGAGATGATGATTTCTCTATATTGCTCTGTGGGGAGCCCAAGGTAATAGGCTTCTGGGTTAGGATCCAGACGCTTCAAAAATTATGAATGTGACTCTGTAAAATGTGGCAAGACTGTAGGGCAAAAGTGGATGTGAAGTGCAACCAGAAATCAGAATGTAATGGCCACAGCAGAAAGTGCTAAGTTCAGTTTCTCTGCTTCTTTCGTGCTAGATTTACTAGATGAAAATAGGCATATTTTATTTTACAGCAAATATTTCAAGTAAATGACATCAATCCCTGTCTGAGGCAGCCCTGGGGCATAAAAATAACATAAGGGAAATGTTTGGCCAGCATCCTTCATACTGAAATAAACAGTATCCAAACAAATATATCTGTATTGTTCCTTAAGACAGGCTCTGCCAGACAAGTACTGTTAGTAGAGTAGCAGAATGGCAGCAAGGCAGCCTGCTGCCTGGCTCTCCTCTGGGCAGCAAATGAATGGTGTGTAAGAGCTGCTGCTGCTCCTTCTTCCAGGGAAGGTAGGGAAGGTTTGCAGCCCTAGCAGGGCTTCTCACTCTGGCAAAGGGGTTCTGCAGTGGAGGGGTTGCAAGAGCCTGGCTGACCAATCTGGTTCTGACCAATCAAGCAACAGCTCTTGTCCCTTGAATCTGAAGCAGTTGCTGTCTTTTAAAACAAAAAAAATAGAAAAAATAATTTCTTTATTTTTTCTTTCACTGCAGGCATTTATAAACATTTTTAGAGAAGTGCGCCAACACTGAAAGTGGGGTTTTTTTGTGTGTTTACACAGTGAATAGGATGTTTACCTTTTTAAAATGTTTCCTGTGAACAGATTAAAAACTGAAATCACTTTCTCAATTTAGAGGAAAAGTGAACTATTTATTTAAGTACTTAATCCGTTGTGCATCAAGGCACTTTAATGATTCAGACAAGAAACAGACCTGAAACACGACAAATGTGGTAAAAATAATATGTGAGGAAAAACTCTATCTCATTTACTTTTATTTGTGAGGTGGAGGGAAAAAGTGCTTGAAATCTTCTCAGTTAATGGAGCTCTGAATGTTATCTTATGTGACCATGGTATCTTGAAGAACAGCTTAGCAGTTGGCTGGATCACTTTGCTGGCAAAGCAGCGGAATTCTTGAAGTCTGGAGGTCTTTGGTTGCATACTCGGAGGAGAGACGTTCCAGCTGTGGACTGGTAGGAAGTCAGCTGCCCCAGATGGCTGTCCTTTCACCGTTCCAGCTGGCCAGCTTCGTTAGCAAAAGTTGATGATTTAAAAAATTGTTTTAAGGAGCAACATCAGTCCTCAGTCCCGCTAAATGTTGTTTGAATCAGTGGAGAGAATGCTTTTGTGGAAATGCTTCAATCAATTTAATCCACTTCTGCTCCCAGAACTTACTCTGAGCCATTCCTAGCATTTTTTCTGTGAGAGTCTGCACGAGAGCTTTGTCTGCTTGGTCACCTCTCAAGGAGAAAAAATGCTTCTCCATATGTCTTAAGCAGAAAGCAGCCTAGGCTGACAGCTATGAATGAGATTGTGTGTTCCAAGAAATGCTGAGTCCGTGACAAGGTAGCAAGTTTGGATGGGGGTAGGAAATAAACAAAACTTGAACGTGAATGTAAATTCTAGGGAAGGAAACAACCCCTGCCTGTCCCCATAGGTGGGGACCTACATGTCAAGGGATAAAAGAGCTGAGGAACAGGCAGCACGTCAAAGAAGGTGTGTGTATGTAGCTCGGTGTGAAGACGATCTTATGAAGTGTCTCAGAAACATTCAGAAAGTAGCAGATGGTTGATAATAGGAAGAAATAAATGGAATTAGAGAGTGAGGGGAAGAATAGGATTTCAGAGATCTTGATCTAACAAAATTCTTCTTGACTATACACGTGCAAAGTCAAGTGTTAATACGCTGCCTTTTTTTACAAAATATTTTTACTGTGCTTATGGTTACTCTCTCTATGGTACCAGGCTTCTGCAGGCACAGTAGCAAGTCCAAATAACTAAATGCCCACGTGCCTGTATAGAAAATGAACTGTTGCTACAACTACAGGTTGACCCATTGCTGTTGCTCCTCTGAAGTGCCGGCTGTTATGCCAGGAGCCAGAGGGAAGCCTTCATTGGTACTTACTCTCTGGGTGCATTGCAGAATGCTTAAATTTGGAGACTTCAATTTATACTGTGAAACTGTGCCTGATGCTGTGTTTCTGTCTCCTCCTGAGTTAGCAGAGTATTGTTACACAAAGGTATGTAAGAACTGTAATCACTCACAAGAATGAACAGTGATGGTGAGGTTCCATCTGGTGAGAGATGTTTTGGTAGCGCAGGGTGGTGGAAACACTACTTTTTCACCTTGTTCCTAACAGCCAGCTCACCTCTGATATTTCCCTCCCCCCACCCCCATGTCCCCATGTGGACAGATTTCCCAAGGAACAATCTTCTGTTGAGCTACTGAATGTGATTAAATGAGAGAGGAGTGCTGTGAGTCAGAGAGCTGACCTGGGGCATAGGTCGCGACTGAGATGTTGGAAGGCACGATGGCATGAGGGATGGAGGAGGCAGACCTTCCCTTCTGGTGGTCATAGGCTGTTGGAGCACCCTGGCTGCATCATTGATCTCTGTCCTTATCAGCAGCTTATTACTTCTGCAGTTAGCTGAGATGGTGGAGAAATCCATGGCCCAATTACTTAGCAACAGCAAATACCACTTCCCAGGTATTTGTAAATAAATATCAGTATTCAATCTGATTTCGTATGTACCTATAATTCCTCCTTTTTGGGTTGCTTTAGTCTTGTTAATGCAAACAGACAGTTTATGTATAAATATAACATGGGCTACAAAATGTTTTGCTCCATTTAGCAGATCACAAAGTATATGAGAATAATGTGAAGATCCCACAGAACTGCAGGCATCGGGCAGGAAAGTCATGCGCTGCTTTGGGTTGGTCTGTTTTTACCTGGCATGGTCAGTTGTAAGGCAGCGTATGAAGAATGGAAATGACTATTAACTGTTTTGAATCATCGTCATTCTTGTGTCTATCCCTCTGTTTTCTGAGGATTATTTTTACTGAAATAGTTAAGAAAAGTGTTTTGCGGTTTCAGAGCAATTACTGGGTCCTTCTGTCCCCCATGTTAACCATACAGGTAGGTGTTAGGGAATAAAATCTTTCTGTAGGCTAAACCAGATGTCTTCCTCAAATCAGCAAGAACATCACTGTGAAATGTGTATTGTATGTGGCAAGGTCTTGACTTCCTGGGAAGTGCTACTGAGGAAAGCTCCATCTTTTCCCATGGGATTTACCATTATTAAGAGTTCTTCATATGTTTCTATGTAGCAGTGCTGACAAGCTAGTGTGCTTTTTTTTTATTTATTCTGTACCAGTTCTGATTACATTCAGCCTTCAGGCAAATCTTTATACCCAGTAAATCTTCTGTCATACTGTAGGAATCTTTGTAGTAATAGATTGTAATGAAGATTAAGTTGATAGACTCAAGTGATTTATTAGAACTTACTGTGCATAGTTTATTTTTTCTTTTCCTTAATGATACTCCCTGTATAGGAGAAGCATTGTGTGAGTCTGGCCATGGAGTAGCCTTTAGGGAAACAACACAAGTGAAATAAGGCAGCGTCCTCTGCTCTTGGATACCTTTTCATAAGATTTGCTTGGAAATGGGGAGATTATCTGCTTTGAATTCTTGAGAAATGCATTGCAATCGCACTCCGGCATGGGGTGGTGCGGACCTATGTAGGAACTGTACATAAGCGGAAAGAATACAAATCAGCTTCAAGATGAAAGCTCTCAAATCTATTAGCTGGTTCTCCTGCTGATTATCATGGCCCCAAGGCATAGTTACAGAAGAGGGATGCACTCAGGAGGGTGACTTCAGAATTTCCACAAATCATTACTGATTATGTTTGTGTATTTTTAAGTGTTTTTAGATGGATGATTGTTGATACACTAATGATGTACCTTTTGGAAATGTGTAAGGAGGAACAAGCCTTGACTTGCACGTGGCTTTTCATTATTTTACCTCTTTATTACTACAGTCCATGTCTGCTGTTCTATAAACAGCAGCTGGAATAATGCACTTACGAAGGCCTTCACATGCACGTACATATATGTATGCATATTCATATTCTTGTCATAAAAGCACCTTAAAGTTTTCCACTTATTATGAAATACATTACAGTCTCTCAAACTCCTTCTGAAAAGGTATCTATAATCAATGAACTGATTCTCTAGAACAGCCTTTATATGTTGATTTAATTAATGCCATGTTCAAAGCAGAGAAAGCTGCACCTGAACTCCTTTAGAAGTTCTTGTGTTTTTCACTCTGCTTTGCAAATGTTGTCTTTCTCTGTTTGCACTAATGTTTTAGGCACTTCTGTTTCACCTTTCTGGTTTTGCCTTTAGGATCAAAAGAAAAACAACGATACGATTCCAGAAGAGCTAGTGTACTGCAGTATGCTTCCAGGTAAAAAAAGATGAGAACTGATTATGTTGTATCAAAACCAAACAGATCAGTGTTTTGGGGGCCACCGGGGGCTTCCAAGCTCTGTACTTGAGCAGAAAGAACCAACTGCAAAGCTGAAAACAAGATTATGCACTGATTATTCAGCAAAAAAAGAAAGTTAAGGAGGTGGGGAAAAACTAGTATGTATATACCAGAGGTGTTTACTTTGGTATCAAGCATCGGTGTTATACTGGTGATGTTATTCCTTTGATTAAAATAATAATTCTCCAGCTGTGATTTGACAAATTACACATATTGGTTAGCATTTCAGTGGGCCTCATTTGGAGGGTTTTATTACACTGAACTGACTGTACAGCTGTTGAATTTCTTTGCTAGAGTCAATAATTTAAACTAGTAAAAACTGTTGTTTTGGTATTTAAATATCTCATGGCGTTCTTCATATTTCTGATCTTTTTTCCTAGGGTAAAGATCTGTGCCATACCTGCAGTTCTGAGTTGTTTGTATAGTCATTAGTTACGCAACTTCTTTCTTTGTGATAATGAACAATTATGATTTGGTGTAACTAACCACTTCAGGTAAGAGTTACCCTGCTTTCGCTTGTGGTTTAACATATTCTACGTGATGAAGGATCTATCTTGCTGGAAAGTAATCATCCATTTTCTTGGGTTACTTTCTTTGATTTTACTATTTGTGACCACTACCGAGAAAAGGCTTTGTTCAAAAACACTGAAAGCCTCCTGATAGTCTGCAGACAGTTTGGAGGGGGGGGAGAAAAAAATGGGACGTGTCTGTCATCCCGAGCCTTAAGGACTGTGTTAGCTGTGACTCGCCACTCCTGCCACTGCTTGCTGGAGGCTGGCCAGGCGCATTGGTTCAGGGCTGGTGGTGCCTGTGTTGGGTTGGGGAAGCAGCAGCTGTTTCAGACCACCTGCCCAACCACTGGAAGGCAGAACCAGAGCATCTTCTCAGCGTGTGGCAGAGATACAAGTCTGCCCCAACGAGCAGTCTGAACAGCCCAAATAGATCATGAATGATTGAATTCCTGCTGTGTATAATAATTGCTGTATTGATAGAATAATGGAGTGAGCTTGCCTTAATCTGCTTTATCAACCTGAAAAAAAGCACTTTGGGAATGATGAGAATATTTTTTGTACTAGTATTTAATTTAATATCACTGTTAGCAAATGAGTTGGTGATGTGAGGGTGTTGTATTTTTGGCATTAACAGGAGTGATGTATGGTCCAAAATGCATTTGTCTTCTCACTCCCCTTTGCTTTCCTTGGCTTCAAGGATGATGAAATCAGTCTGTGGCTTTGCTTTGAAATGAGCAAAATTTTGGTTTGGCAAAGGCAGGGCAAAGTGAAGTAACAGTGAAGCTACTCTTTGGAAATATGCAAATAATTTAAGATAATAATATGCTGTTCAAATGATTTGATCTCAGTGGGACTCTGATGCATCCAGCAGAGCCTGGTTCATACTAATGTGAGTGTTTCAGCATCCAGTTCTGCTCCCATTGAAAACATTGGTCCCTTTAAATTGAATTTTGTGGGAATTGGAGACGAAAGCAGATAGACTACTGGGGTGGGGGAAAGTTCATTTAATACTCCATGTGTAGTTATGTGGACCAAGGAGTTTCAAGTGTCTCAGTTTCTAGATCAGTACCAGCAAATACCAGCATTGCTGGAACATCTGAATATCTAGATGTTTTTCCTACTCTGAAATAGGGGGAGCTGGAAAGTGTTGATCTAGATACATGGAAAATTCCTTGCAGGCTCTTAAAACTCAGACATCCTGTGAAAACAAAAATGCTGAGATGAAATTATGTGGTTTCCTTCTCATTTGGGACTTGAAACTTCTTTGGAATAAATGAGAGTCCAAAACAAGAAACAGCATTTCAAAAGCATAGGGCAGGCATGGAGATTCAAAGGGGAGGGAAATAAGCTCAGGGTGCTGCACAGGCAGCTGGCAGGGACAGGATGGGATGTGCAGGCAGCCCTGGGCAGGGCTAATGCCAGCTCCGCCGCTTACCATCCACAGCTGCCACTGCCCCTCGCTCCCAGGATGGCTCCCGTTCTGCAGCAGAAATGAAAGCTGATGGGGAAGTGCTGCCTCAGCTTTTAGAGGCAGCTTTCACCCCCTGACCCTTGCATTTGGGTGGACAGAAGATTCATGCCTTAAGTAAGGGCTGCTAGTGTACTAATTATGTACTGATGGCAGCCTCTGTAAAATAGCAATTTTCGCTCAATTACTCAGTGCACAGTGTCACTATTATAACCCAATTAATTTTTAAATAACATTCTAATTTAAAAGAAGGCAATATGTTGCATTTCCGTGAGTTATCTATAGTGTTATGATGGTTAATTTAGCTAGCTCTCTTCAGAGTTCCATTATAGAGTGATGCAAACAAACCAGTGAAAAATAACATGACACAAAATGACTGCATTTTTGGTGCTGAAAGCTTCTCAGGTCTGTCACAGTAAGGTAGGAGGCTGCAGAGGACACTTCAAGCAAATGCTTAATTGGCAGGTGGTGTTCCATTATACCTATAGTTTAATGTGTAAATGAAAGAAAACTGCCAACTAAGGTTAGTAGACCATTAAATAAAATTTGTTGTTTGATTTCCATTGATGATATAGGATTTTATTTCACTTATAATGAGCAGAATTTTAAATAAAATCTTTCCTGAAGCGGGAACACCACCATCGTGGTGAATGTTAATGACAAGAGACTGATTTATAGCGGCAGTCTGTCTATAGGAAGCATGAATTTACAGCGTGACATAGAAGGAGACCAAAATACATAGGTTGGAGTGATGTGCTGGATGCTTCTAAGTGTCAAGGAGTAACCTTAATACCAGTATCAATGAAACAAACTCACCCAATTCATGTGTCAACCAGAAGCGTGGGCTTGGAACAGTTCAAGTGAAGAGGGAAAATACCTGCTGGTGTGGGAGGAAAGCTGTCTTTTGGCTTCTGGAAGCTGCTAAGGGCCTGCCAGCCCTGGTGGTGTTGTGGGTGACTTGCAGTTTTGTGAGCACCAGGTGTTCACACTGCCAGGAGAGCAAGGGTCTCCCCTTAGCATAAAGCAGAGACTTCCAACCGGAAATGAAGAAATTAATTGAGAAGCGAACGAACTGCAAAGCTTTTGTTTGGTCTTAATGTAAACAGCAATAGCAACTTATTTACTCCTGGTTTTTGCTATTGCTTGGTGAGGCTTTTATCAGGATTCCATGAGGGTTTTAATGTTTAGGCTGATGGAAGAGTTAGCTTCATTTGCTACAATTACATAGGGCTAATGCCTGGTAAACTGCATAAATTCTTATAAATATGGGTTGTCATTGACTAGATGAGAACAGCCCGCCTGTTTCACACCTACAAGATGTGCTTGCAATTATTAATTTTTGAGGTATTTCATGCTAAGGTTGCATGATTCTTCTGTTAACATATGTTGGTGGTGTTATCAAGCTTCCATTTTGGTTGGGAGCTGCAAAACCTAGGCTTCAGAGCTGCACAAAAATCTATTTCTCAACTCTCAGATCCTTTTTTTTTTTTTTTTCCCCCTTCAAAGGCTTCTGCAGCACTCATCACTGCAGTATTGAAGACTTTAACTGTCACTGTGATGATTTACTCATTTTAAGGAAGAGGTAGAAGCAAACGTGTTTAAAGTACAGCCGATGGACAAAGTCAGATACTCATTAACAATATCTTCAAACCATAATCAGCTAGCCCCAGAGAACATGTTTTATCTTGCTCTCAGCAAACCTCTCTGCCTGCAAGTGATTTGCACTCTTATTGAAAAAAGTTGGTAGCAGAATGGATAATAACAAGTCTGAGGCTGCTCTCTGGTCTAGAGGGTAACTAACTGGGCTCAGGGACAGCAAACCTGAAGTTTAGAGTGCAAAGTGAGAAGCGTTCTAAAAGCCAGGGCTATTGAAATTTGCAGCATTAGGAGTGTCACTAGATAATAAATCTTTATAACAAAAAGGATTGGAAAAAATACCTGCGGCCCACCTGTTTGCTTTCTCTGATGCAGGGATCTGTTTGCAGTTAATGATAATGGATAGTCCACATAACTTGAGTTGTTACTTATGTGGAAAAGGTGATTAGAGAAAATACAAAGTATGAATGTCTGCTGCTGCCATGATCAGAGCATGTTCTGCTGTTCGGTAGTTATGGCTTTGATAATTTAAGATAGTTGTATGCCTTCTTTTTACAACTAAGGTAGGATTAAAAGAAGTGTATGGTTTGTGGCTGTGTACGCACTGTGGTGCTGCTTCTACTTTATGCATCCTTGACTTGCTCTCCTACAGTCTGCTTCTCACAAGAAAATTCTTTGTTTCAGAATTACATTTTTATAGTTTTTGTACATCCAGCATCAGAATGTGTGAAGGGGTGAGTTGTTTCCAAAGGAGTTGAAGGTTGAACTAGATAAACATAGTGGTATTTTGCAATCTAAATGATTCAATGATTAGTTACGTGTGTGAGAGTGCCCTGATGCAAGAGTATCTTACGTAGCTCTGCAGCTAGCGGGGTGGGCACCTGGCCTAGGACTTTGCAGCCTATTAATGAAATAGGAGCGGGTGCTTTATGTGTGGTGGATGACCGCTTAGTTCATTTTCCAAACAAACTATGTCAGACAGAAAGGTATTTCAGTCTCATTACAAAGCTGCAAACCTAACCTAAAAGTTCTTTCTCCCCCGTTGTGTTCAGTGCGCAGTTGGTGTGTGTTTACTTGTATTTATTCATTTATACGTTCTAATAACATGCTAACTATCTAATTTATATCTGAATTGTTAGATGTAACAAGGCTTGTATGGAGCACTCTGTACAGCTGCTATGGATGTTTCTTTAGCTTTCTAATTTAACTCCACTGTACTGTTGCATTTTCATGAGAAACATAACAATACTGCAACACACTCCCAACAAAGATTTCATTGATTTTGCTATTTAAAATTTATATTCTAAGACTTCTAACTCTATTTTTCCACTTTAAATAATGAACAGTAAACAAGAGCATATACGTCTTTCTCCTGTGAAGTTTAATTGGCATAGTTATCAACTTATCTTTAAAAATTATTTGTGGCAGGGCATGAATTAGTCAAGCTTTGTAAGTATGAGGTGGATTTGTACTCATAAATTGATAACAAAATGGAAAAAAAACTACCTTAGTGGAATCAGTCCCACAGGTAGAATCCAAAGGGTTTTCTGAAGAGTACAAGGTGAGAGAGAAACACCCTGTGCCTCAGGCTTTTATTTGGAATTCCTTCCTGTGTCATTTGAAGGTATGTAGGATGGAATATGGTTCTGTGGGATGAGTTTTTGTTTTATTTTTTGTCTAAATCTGGAGGCTAAGAGCAAATTGTAGTGCTGCATAAGGAGATGCTTCGTGTGGAAAGGTCTACGTATGGCCAACCTACCACCTCAGTCTGGCTTCAGCAGTGGTTAATTAGAGATTGAACAAAGTTGTGCTAGGTTGTTGACTTTAAGTGATATTTAATGGTACTCAGTTTACGTGTAGCAGTGCTACACTTGACCTAAGAACTTTTGAAGAATATTGTACCCGGCTTTTCACTTTGGTGCAGATATCTTTAAAAATACTGACTTGGTCCCGTCCCCTTTTAACTACTACTGTTGAA